TCCTTGATATTTTAATTGGTTTTATCTTTCCAGGAAGAAATCATCACATCATCGGGTGGGGAGCTACTACTGGAGCCATGTGGACAGCAGAAGAATCCACCAGACTATAGTCCTTTGTTTGAGTAACTGATCCAGGACTAACAGGGATGCATTCTGGATAGCTGTAGTAATAAATAGCTACAAAAGTAAACATTGAAAGTATTTAACAAACTTCCAAAGCCACTGGTCTTGTGGCCAAAAATATCCTCAAAAGAAGGCCTAAACTATTCCTGTTTTGCATCTGATTTATCATTATTATTCATGTTGCTAGCAAGTGAAAGGTGAGAAATTACCAGCAAATTACTAAAGAGAACTACTCCCAGAAAATTTTCAAGGTATTGTGGCCAATTGCACTGAATGCTACCTTCCTATCCTAATTTTTTCATGTCTGATGCAGCAAGAAGCACAGCCAGGAACTCTTCATAGAGTACTGTGGGAAGTATCAGTGTTGGTGAACAGATTCTTTTTTCCAAAGCAAGGTTTGTCAGGTTTTGTTGACAATCTCATTACTTGGTGGTGCACTTTTGATAACAAGAGAAGCAGCCTTAAAACATCCTTTTGCAGTTTGTGATTGCTTAGATAGGTAGGTGTAGCTTGAAACTTGGCATTATGCTTTTGAATTCAGGCCTACAAAATTCCTCACAGCAGAGACAGAACAAGGTCATACACATTATATTTACAATTTCATGCAGTCCAGCAGCCTTGGAAGAAACTTTACTCCTGTACAGTAAGTGGTCAGTTTATTCTAAAGAAAACAGTTTGACTTGCTGCAATTCTCTCACTGTCCTTGTCATGTTTTCTACTTTTAGATGTGCAAGAGACACACTGGACATTTCTAGCTTTACTTTGCTGTAGGACCAGGTATTTTCCTTAGCAGAGTTATAAGTGCTAGTGGGCTGGTATATTTGTACATAGAAAAGGTACAACTAATTACATTATCATCGTGCTATTTTATGTTTAAAAAAGATGCACATAATGTGTTCCTCATCCATCTGCTATATGTATTAACCCCATGTAAATAGACCAGGAGCTGAGATCTGTGGAGTAGTTGCTTAGCTTGCGGACTATAAAAATAATAAAATATCATCACAGTAGTTAATTTGTCCTCTTGAAATTTGTGTCTCAGCCATTCTTGCACTCTGGGCTGTCACATGGTATAGATGTAGTCCTGCATTGTTTCATTGCAGGACTGGACACTACTAGGGCAGTCAATTCAGAAAATGGAGTGAGAGACCTGCAAAACTGTTCCTATTACCTTCCTGTGCTCTGTTCCCATGAATGGCCAGATAGAAACTGCTGAATATAGAGGTGAGATTTTTTCAGCTCCAGGCATTAATTTTGCAGGGCAATATTTCAAATAACAGGGTTGTGACAGTTTTGCATGTAACTGATTTGTTTCAAGAGTGAAGTGGAACATGAGGGAAGAAGATGTGTACCTATTGGATAGTGTCAAAGCCATGACTTTAATAGGGAGTTTCTCTGTGCTTTTCATATGTGATGTGTATTTTGAGGTGTAATGTGGAGCAATCCATATGTGTTACTGTAACTTCGTGGTTCATTTTTCCAAAGAGCCTCACTACCTACCAGATGCTTCCTCTGAGAAACCAGCTCTGCACTTGTTCCATCTATAAAAGGCATCTCTAGAATCACCTTGGCCTGGAATCATTCGCAGCTGCACATGTTCCATCACAGAACAACTGGATCCCTACTTTGAAGGAGAAGGGGAAGGGATTTTTAAAGTTAAGGTATCCATAGACTTACCCTGAGGCCAGAAAGCAGCAGCTGGCTGTGTAGGACTGAGGGTCCAGAGGTGGTACTGAACAATTAAGGTGGTATTTAGACACCTAGGCATCTTTGCAGACCGGTGTTTTTCCTTTATGAACTTAAAAAAAACCCCACAAGCAAACAAACCAAGAACAACAAAAAAAACCCCACCATAAAATGGCACACCTTCTCTTTGGAAAAGGTGCTAGGCATGCTAGAAGACATGCAAATTACAAAGTTTTTGGAAGATTACTCAACCCATGGTGCACAGTTCTGTGAATATTTATAGACACAATATTGAAGAACTCGTTCCACATGGAATTCACATTCAGAAACTGAAAATAATACATCTATTTATTTCTAGAGTCACACTTCCCAGCACCTGCTTGTGTTTTGTTTAGCCATTAAGAAGGATTGGAAATATCAGCTCTAGCTTATGTGGCCTCTTGTGATGTGATTAAAATCAGAACAGCATCATCGTTGTCACTTCAGAGTACATTCCCTAAATTCTAATTTTCTAAATTTTTCTATCTGAATTCCATCTATTTCTCAGTCTAAGTTTTACCTAGCTTTAAAATAAAGCCCTTGTAAGTTCTCCTGCACATGATATTACTCAGAAAACTGCAATTTTGTGAGAGTTTTATTATGCTAATAAATGGCAGAATTCTAAAGTAAAGAAATTGCTTTTTTTTTTTCTCCATAGCCCTGCAAAATTAATGAAAAATAGCCAGTCAATTCATAGAGTTACAGTAAAGAAAAACTCAACAATATATAACCAGGAGCAGCAGCAGCAATGAAATATAGTGCACTTAACTGAAGGTAAATTTTGAGGGAAACAAAAGGAGATTGTAGGTAGCAGAAATTAAGAAAAACAAAAGCTTTCCTTGGTAGAAATGTGTAGCTGTTTCCAATATATTTGAGTGAAGTACAAGCATGGAGATCTTTTCTAAGCTAACAGATGCTTCTTACTGCCTTCCAAAAAAATAAGTGGACTATGAAAAGGTAAGCCAGTTAATAGGAAGAATAGAAGGAAAAGCAGGGAAGGAGTAAATATGGAAAATTAAGAAAATAAGAAAGGGGGAAATGTGCTTATCCCACTGCTTTGAAAGCATTTTGGATTTTTTTTTTTTTTTGCTGCTCTGGGAGGAAGACTGGGTGCTGCTACCTCCTTTTCTCTCTGCAAGATTTCATCTTTGAGCTAACAATCTACCTTGGAGCTAGATTTTACACTCTTGAATGTTAATAGTTGGGCTGGTCTGTACTGCAGCCTTGAATGCTCCATCTGCTTCACTCTGCCTCTACATGTAATGCTGTCTGAAGCTGTTCATCATTGGGTAAAAATATGTTCATAATGCTGTCATTTCCTTGTCTGCAATTGCTACCTATATTTCATCACACAATGACCTTCCAATCTTGCTTTTTAACCTCCTTTCTAGTGGTACCTGTTGTTGAGTCATAAGAGGTGCATGTTATGGATTTTCATTGTAAGATTTTCTGTCACTATTTCTTGTTGATGAGACCATTGGGAATACACTGAGAGACCTACCGTGGTAATTGTGTTTCATAAGGAAAAATACTACAGCAAGAAGGAAAACTTAAATGAATTGAAGTTTTCTCATGTCTGTTTCACACCAATGACACACGAGGTCCCAACCTTGTTTGAAGGTATCTTTGAAAAAGCATCTCTTGAGGATTTATTCTTGCTTCTTCCTGGATCCACAGATCCATCTGTTCTTTTGAATTTTGTTTTAATCTGTTATTGTACATAGACATCTCCAATTTAATACTCTCTCTTCTCTAAAAAAAAGAACAAAAACCAAGCAAAGAAAGAGACAGCAATCGTGGAGATTTTCAAGGCTACTCAAAGAATATAGATGCCAGTCTATTACCTCATTATTAATGGAATAATGATGTAGTATGAGTATTTATGTATTAGTTTTATAATAGTTGTCCTGGATTATTATTTGAAGTACTAAAACCCTATTGTCCTGAACAAGTACTAAGCAAAAGGAGATAGCATCTGCCTCAAGAAACAAATACCTAAATTTTTTTTTATAACAGAGATTTAGTTTCAGGCTTACTGAGTAGAAACTCTTTCCAAAGACCTGATTCAGAGTGAGAACTTCCACTAGGTTTCAATCACTTTGAATTGAATTAATAAAACCTATTCCATTGCTGAAGTGAAGCAGGATAAATAAGCTGACGACAGTAAAAGAATTTAATTTTGTATGAACTAGGGATCCACTTCTGCTCAGTCTTCCCTTGGTCACCACAAGCGTGAATATAGAGCACTAATGGAGTTACTCCACTCTTCACTGCACCCTAAATTCTTCCCTTTACATAAAGCCACAATAGAAACCTCATCTTGAGCAGAATGTGGCAGTTCACAGTAGGAGAAACTTTTCTCTTCCTTTATATGAATAAATTTGTTTGCATTATTCACAGCTTAGAGTTTATTTTTCAGTGATTTTCAAGGACTGACTTTCTTTACTGTTTCATTATGCCTTTGCTTTAAGATTCCTTTTTCCCTTCCCGAGAGGATAAGGTAAGTGACCTCTGTGAATGATGTGTCCCTGGCTGGGCTATAAATTGCAAAATGAGGTGTTTGCACTTGACCAGATGCTTGGTTTGTGTTTCCTGAGATGAATCTCCTGGATGCATACTGTCTGATGATAATGATGCATAATTGATTTTTATGGCTAATTTCTTGCCATGCAAGTGCTGTGTGAAGCCTTCTCTTCAAATATTTGTTTACTGCTAGTGATTAGTCCTGTAGCTAGTATATTTACATGATGGCCCATAGCTAATGCAAATTTTCTTCTAGGCTGGAGCCTTCAATGAGTTGGTTTTTTTCGCTCTTGGAATTTCTTCCATAGTTTTAAATGAAGGTAACATTTTATGGTATCTTTATTATATATCAAGAAGTGATTTTGCCTATGGAGGAGAAATAACATCAAAAGAGACTAGACATTGAGTTTGGTCCTAATCATGTTCTTTTGATCTATGCACAAAGGAAACACTTAGCATGTTAGTGTTTCCCTTAAAGTTTAGCTGCCTTTTCTCCCTTGTTCTCAGTTTTAGCGAGAACTGTGTGTGGGAGAAGGTCATATGCTCAAAACCATGGAGAGAAAAGAGAGAAGAGGCAGGACTATTTTATTCCATGTAATTTTACAATTCCATGTAATTTTACAGGCAAAGCTTGAATGAAGTATTTCCTGTGAGATTTACTGTTTTTCCCGCTTTGTATTCAGAGGACCTGTGCTGAGGCCTGTGGTTACTGTTTTCTTTACACAGCAGCAACAGGAAGGTGTTTCTACTGGGTATGTAAAGGGCACAAAGGGAGTTCAATGAGTAGTATTACAGTGCCCCAGGAATGGTACAGAACTATGCAGATCAAGCACATGATAAAGACATATTTTGTGCATAGGTGTGTAGAGCAAGGAGTGGTTGCAAATTCTTGTTTGCTAGAAGTTAATCCTTCTGATTGTATGATTGTCGTCATTGATGGTCAGTGCACATGAAGACATGGCCAATCTTAATGCACCTCTGATCCCACAAATTGATAGAACATAGATTGCCTGAAAGGAAAATCAGACATAGTTGTCTTAGACAAGTGTTAATAGGTAGTACTGTTGGATATTTATGGCAGAAAATTTTTAAATGTATAATGCATGTCAGGATACACAAATGCTAAACACTGCTTACCACATAAAGCATAATGTGACTTTTATAGCAATTAAAAAGTCAATGAAGAATAAAGCTACCCCTGGTTATACTGCTTTCCTGTAGGAAATATCAATACTGAAAACAAGAAAATGTTTTCTCATTTAGGAATTTAAGCTTGATAATGGCCTACAAGTCACTTCTGAGAGCTGTACAGTGATCTCCCATTACTAAGACAGCCAGCCTGTTGGACTTATATCTGTTCTTGATTCTCAAAGTTGTCTTGCTTGGGATAGCCTGAAGCTAATGAGAAATATGTTTTTACTAAGTCATTCAAATCCAGTGCAATGGAAGATGTGTTAAAGTATATGTTTCATTATAATTTTTACTGTTAACCTTTTCTCTCAAGGAATCCTAGAAAAAAAAAATTCTGACAGTGAAGGTCTGACTTCTAGATAACATTTTGTTACCTGTTATGTGCCGTACTCACAGCATGCTGGTTCATTCATTTTGAATTTCAGAGATCTATGTGCTACACTGGAACCTATCTCCATTTTTTAATAAGAAAACAGTAGATACATGTGTGTGAACAAACTGTTCTGTGGGATGAAAATGTTCACTGAATTCCAATGCTGAGCCCCCACAACATTCACTGGAGTTCATGTGGCAGTCCTTAGTTGATAAATATGAAAATCTTTTTTTAGGGTTACCTGTCAGAATCATTTTTCACTTTCCACAGAAAGAAATTGAGCTACGCTAAAATCTCCCATTGATAATTCTTAATGGAGAAATTTTGTTTTCAAAATAAAAAGCTCCATGGAATTGTTTCAATTTTTTAGAGTAAAAACAACATTTAAAAGTATCTAAAGGCATTTTTAATTGCAGAAAATATGAAAAGTAAGCAAAAATCTAGCACAGAAAAATTCTATTTTTTTCATTCATCCCTAAAAGAAAATGTGTTACATTAGGCTCAAAATTCAATACAGATATTGAATGTTTTTGACATTTCATTAGGTATCCATTCTCTCCCTTAGTGCTAGTTTTCTTCTAAGGAAAAATGGAAATACCCAGGGAGCAGTTATTCAAAATGTCAAGCCCATTAAATATCTGATTCGATGACTGAAATAAATTCATGAAGGTTTAAATAAGACCCTAGATAATTTTCTCCAAAAAAAAAATCAAGCTAGGAAAATGAGTTCAATAAAAAAACCTGATGTATGTCATTCACAGTTTTGAATATTTGGTGTTACATGCTTGGATTCTTACAATATGATTTACATTTATACATTACTAAAAAGTGTGAGCACTGAAAAATAATTAATTTAAATAGAATAATAAATAACATAGTGGAAATTAAGCCTGCTGTTCCAGTTTCTCTAAAAAAGATTAATTCTATCAATGGTTATGTAAAAGACTAAGTCTAGTCATGAGCTTCTGCAAAAAAAAGGATCTAATTTTCTAAGTAGTCATTGTGACTATTCACAATAGAAATCTCATCCTGGATTAAGGTTTCTGATTAAGAATGCAAAGTTCTGACTACGTGTGCAAATACAAAATGGAAACATTTGCAATGAACCAGTTATGTGTAAAAGTGAAACATCCCACAGAATAGTCACTGTAGTGTGGAGAAAATGAGTAGCTTGGACTCCAGTTGTTCACCTCAGGCTGGACTAGAAACATAGACTTCATCCAGAGTTCCAGGTCAGTGTGATCTCAACTCCTCTGCCAAAGACCACTGATTATTCAAGGAGACCTGGGGTCAGGAGAGAGTGTGAAAACTTTTGAAACTTTGAAATATTACCATGAAAAGAAAAAAAAGTACGTCCCCCTCCCCACCCTAGATAAGGATCAGTTTGCAAAAGGAAAAAAGAGGCATTATGGAGCTGGCAAGACATTGTTTTCCTCTTGGTGAACAGACATGTTCACAATTTGTTGAAGTCAATGAGAAGAAAGTGGGGAATAAGGATTTCACAGCCGGGTCATTTTTTATTCATTCTGTTCTACAGCACCACACATATAGTCATGAAGTGCTATCCCATCTGTTCTCGGAAGCAGTTCAAATCCAGTGGGCTAAAAATACCCTGTCTGCCAAGGAGACAGTCAAGGTGGTTTGAAAAGGCTTGAATGCTTTAACTTTGGGACACAGATAAAGGTGATAAATTAAGAGGCATCGGGGCTTTTTTTTTTCTCTCTCTTCCTCCCCCAGACTTATTAATAATGAACCAAACTCACAACAACCAAGGAGAAACCTGCCTACTGGCTAATACTGTTTGTAATCCTGTGTCTGCACCTGCCCTCAGTGCTAAAGTTCATTTCAAGTTACACTTCAGTAATTGATGATCACTTGCCATATCCCTTTATAAAGCTTTTTTATCAATGTCTTTAGTGGTTCATTTTCTATCAGCAGCAAATCAATGAAATTTTAATGGAACAGAGTGCCCTACTTGAGACTGAATTATGTTGCTTTACCTGTTTCAATATCAGATGAAGTTCTCAAAGGCTAGACAGATAATAGTTTTTCAGATTTTTTTTTTGCTGATAACTTTGTTTCTGTAGAATGGTGGCATCCTTGTAATCAGCTGTAATAAAGATTGAAGACATTAATAAACTTGTTTCTACTGTGAGAGACAATGGGAAAATGTGGGGTTTGAAGCTGATAGCTGGATCCTTGTAAATGGCACAGTGGTGTAGTTGGGAACAGATTGACTCTTGGAATACTGGCTGGGGATTCAGGGAGGATCTGAAATGGTTTAAAAGTCTGCAGGGTCATGCAGTAATTAACTATGCACAGGGAAGTACAACATGGTCATGAATTGAGTTCCCTTCTTGAAAACTGCAGGAGGAGCCTGTAACTGTTGTCAGAATAATCCCCCAGCACTGCTGGAACAGTGCCATCCATGACATCCCCCTCAGCCCAGCCTGGGAAGTACAGATGTCCTGCCACTGGCCTCGGCAGAGTATGGGTACAAGGGCTTTCCGTGTGTAAATCCTACCAGGCTATGTTTGCCACAGAATAAGAAATTTAAGAATCTTGAGAAGCTCCAACAACTCTTACATTGTCTTGGAGCCATCTGTACAGCAAAGTGGAGGAATTATTTTATTCCTTTGTAGAAATTCTTTCTTAGTCGTCCTCTAAGCCACGTGACCTAATCAAGTGGTATTTCATAATGTTTTTGCCCTACTGTATATCAATAAAAAAATATGACAAGATAATACTACTTCTACTGAAGCTTAAATTGACTTTTCCTGACAGTTTAGCTCCAGGCCTGTGCTCCACACCCCAGGCCATGTCACACAGGGTTGGCACTGGGCGATCCTGGTACAGCACACACAGGGGAGCATCCACTGGTGCCTCGGTGTGATGTGGGCGAGGCAGTCTGAGGTTCCTCAGAGCTACCTAAGGATAAACATCCCCTGGAGACGAGTCTTTGAGCAATGATGGGGAGCAATGAGGTGTTGGGTGATAACACACAGTGGTTGTGGGGCAGACCTGCAGCCACGGAGTGGGGCTGGCTGAGGGCGGCTGCCCCGAGAGAAAACTCGAGATAAGTATCAATCAAACACTTCTCTCTTTGTGTGGGGTAAAATTCCCTTGATCGATTTGAACTCACCTGAACTGATCAGGATTCACTGCCTGGCTTTGCTTTATGTCACCAGTTCTAGTGGATTCCCCCTTTACTCCGCTCCTGCTCTGTGGCCCTGGTGCGTCTGAGGGGCGGCTGGATGGAGGAGCCGCACCCCGGCCCGTCCTGGTCACTGTGAGAGGAGTCTCCCTCGCTGGATATTCCAGAGCTGTCTGGCTGCAGTCCTGTGCCATGTCCTCCAGGATGACCCTGCTTGAGCAGGGAGGTTGGACCAGATGACCCACTGAGGTCCCTTCCAACCTGACCAATCTTGTGACCTGTGAGGGCTCGGGAGGGGATCCTGTGGCTCTGCCGCGGTGGCTGGAGGGGCTGGTGGCTGCAGCCGAGGAGGAGGATGCAGGATGGAGTTGTCCCACCACACTTTGTTCATCACTGCTCTGCAGTGAAGACTCAGAGGCTGAGGGCTTAATTTTGCAGCTTTGCAGGAGGAAATTTCCCTATCAGTTTTCCTCTGCCAAAAGCCTCCTGTTTCCTGAGCCCTACCGAAAACCAGGCCTGAGAAAAAGGCCTGATAAAATCTTACTCCATGTCTTGATTCCTCTCAGGCTGAACAGAGCAGATAATTTACACATTGACAGGATGAAACTGGCAGTAGGAAACACTTGGGAGAATGCTGAATTGCTCTGTTTTAAGAATTCTCTGTCTGATGAAGAGGATTTAGTTGTGCTACTTGTGGCTGGACAACAGAGATACGAAGACTCTCAGGAAGGAAGCTGCCCTGTTGTCTCCAAAGAGAAGGAAAGGAACACTTTTCTCCAGTAATATTTACCTGATGGAGGCAGACCAGTAGGTAAGATGCATTTTTTTTTTTCTGGTTTATCTTAGAGTCTCATAATTGTCAGGGTAACAGTCCTGCAATGCTGGAAAGATACTAGCTAATTTTGGAACAGCAAAACCCACGGTGATTGCTAAAGAGGTTATTGTTCAGTGCCCCAATTTGTTAACCACGTCCAAAGTTTGAGTCTGATGCAGAAACAATCTAAAGGAAAAATTGTCCAACATGTTTGTATTTCCATGAATCACTAAACACAAATCACATATTAGTTCAGTATTGAGGTTGTGTACAAAAATGTGAATGTTTTCCAATGATTCCAATGGGATCAAGCTTTGAATGCAAAGGAAGATAAATTTGCCTTCTCACCTTCACAGTCACAACTGAAGCACACATCATCAGGGCAGCTTGTGTTTCTCTTAATGGAACTGTTTCTATTTGATGAAATAAACTATATCAGACTCTGAAAATGTAAATCTCATCACTAACACCTTTCTCCATACAGCACTAAACACAATTTCAGATATAGCAGAGGGAAAACTGTCTGAAGACTTAGAAATGTCAAAATAAAAATGTCCAAAATAGAATTGTTGTGCTAGAGAGTGGAGTGGCAAACAGCTATGTTCTGGTTGATTTGATGTGCTTTGGTACAGTCTATAAACTTTCAAAAACTGGGAATATATAACACATACTGAAATCATGCTCAATAATGTAATATAAGAAAGCTTTCATATAATAGGGAATGTTGTAAATGGCTACCAAGAATGTAATTTTGCCTGATTTTCACAATGAAATTATTCTGTTTCGATTTTTTTTTTTTGTAAAGTAATCTCAATATGCATCTTTTCACTACAGGAGAACAAGCTACAGAATATCTAAACAAAGTTAATGCTTTCTCAAGTAGTTCAGATGGAATGTTTATGTTAATATTTTTTGGGTGTTTTCCATGGTAATTTAATTTTCAACAAACTGAAGAGTACAACAGAGAAAATAAAATGTGGACATATGACACTGTAATTTTACTTGAATAGAAGCAGCAAATAGAGGATAAAGACTCTCCTGTGCTCGTTCTACAAAGCACAAAACTTGGTTAAAGAACTGCTTCATGACATACAGGAAAGGAAGCTGCTTTTAACTCAGAATGGAAGAATTGTAGAATCATAGAATAATTTGAGATTTTAAGGGATCTTTGAAGTCCTGTTTGTACTAAAATTTTAGAATATCTTCCTCTGGATTTGTGTGGAGTTTGCTCAATTTTCTCTAATCTTTCAGTATCTGGAGTTTTATTTTTTTCCTTGTCACCAGACCCTCTGGAGGACCATAGCTGATTAATTTGTTGGTTCAATCAATAGATCTGCCCATTTATTTTCATTATTTTCTTTTATATTGTCATTCCTAGAGCTCATCTTTCCATAAAGTTTTTGCCATACACCCTTTTTTTTTTTTTTACTTTTAATCTTACATTACAACAGAGCTACTGGAATTCATTATGTGTGAATACAAGCAGAAGTTCTACTGAAAAAAGCTGAAAAATGTTTTACAGAAACCAACTGGAAATTCTTGCCCATGTTTCATTTTTGCAGTATTAAAATTCTTAATATGTATGTCATAGAGCTATAGAGGGGTGTTTTGCTAGTGGTTTTGTTGTTTTGCTGTGGTTGTTGCTAGTGTTCTGTTTTGTTTTGTTTAAAAAAATATTTAATGGGATACTAGAGGATTTGTTGAAGGCTTCATAAGCCTAGACAACTGGAGTTTCTTCTTTAAGCTTGATATTTTACAGTGACTGCTGTTGTTTCATACCTAATGAAATGCTGTTGCTAGGAGTTCACAGCTACAGATGTGGCTGACAAAGTGTCTGGGGTGTTGGAGGTATATAAGAAAAAAAAAAAGAAAAGCAGCCCATTTCTAACCAAAGAATGCAAGGACACAATTTGTTGCTATTGACAGCATGAAAATGAATAAATATTGCAATAGTTACATGTCTACTCAACAAATTTATACCAGCAACTGAGTGATGTCTTTTCTCAGGATGGCAAGCAGACCAGTATTATCAACTTCCTTTATGGAGATCCTTCCTTTCAGGCAGTGAATTTGTGGTGTGAAATCAACATCTTGTTTATTGGTTTTCTTGTGTTCTTCCTCTTCCTAAAGCAGTATGCACATTATTACATTATACCATGTTTAAAAAAAGAATCTTAGTTGCATGTTAAGAGCTAGGCTCCAAAATTCATTATGGAAAAGGCCGACTGAGAAGTCTCAGATATTCCACATAGCATATTTGGAAAATTATTATTCAATACAGACGTAAAAAAAATGAATTTTGAGCTTTTGTTGAGGCACAGAAAGTTCTGAGAGTCCTTGTCAATGTATTTAGACACATATTATGAGAGTTAGTCACTGATAGTAATCATAAGGCTATAATAATCAGTGGATCATATTTTTTGGGACAACAAAGAGCTTGTTTATTGTAGCACAATTGTAGCACAAAGCCTATGTACTGGTTCACTATTTCTACTTCATTCTTCTTGTTGCTCCATTTTACAGGTCCATGATCTTCTGCTGCTCTGCTTCTTTCAGAGACATTGACATCTCCCCCTTCTTGATTCCTACCTCCTGCCTGCCTTTTCTTCCTTTTTTTTTTTCCTTTGTGTTACATTCTAATGTTTACTAGTAAGTCACTTCAGTGCCCCAATCAATGCTTGACACATTCCTTTGGCAACCGTGCCAGAGTAGTTATTGTAGAAAAGTTATTGTAGAAAAAGTAGAGAAGAAAACCTTGGATAAACAATTCAGTTGAAAAAAGCAAAACAATTTCAGGAAAACTGTATTTGTTCTGGTTTTATAGGTAACCATAATAGAACTCTCTTGAAGTTAAAGAAAAGTTCTGTGCCTCCACTGCCAGTCCCCTTAGGGTCTCATAAAGTTCCTGGCTCTTACTAGTTTTGATCAGAGTGCTGAAAGGACGCTCTGTTAGTGCCTGCCTGATCCAAAACTCCTGGAAATCCATGCAAGTCTGCCTTTATCTTCATCTTACAACTTGTTAAATGGCTGATACAAGAGGATGTATAAAGAATGGGAAGTCTCAAAAGAAGACCTTGATGCACCTCAAAGACCTGAATTCCATGAAACACTTTCAGATGAGGGTCTGAACTCTTGTGCTTTATATAAAAGCATCTGAATTTTTGAGAGCAGCCAATCTCTAATGAAAATGTCCTTATGTATTTTTTAATCTATCCTGCTACTTTAGATGGTAAATCCTTTAAAAACTCTTCAAAATAAATCAAAATGTCATACTGTGCCAAACGCCTGCTTTTTTCCCTCTGGATCCTAGCTTAAAAATGAATTCTCTAGAGTAGGAGATCACTCTGGATTACAGAACAGCTTCTTAAAATGTCAGTGGCAAACAGTCAGCAAATCCCTCATTATCAATAAAATGGCACCAATATGCAGTTAAAAAGTCATTTGTAATACTTCAAACCCATATCCTCACAAACCTTCTATCTTGTAGCAGTCTCACCAGCACCAGGCAAAATACAGTTTAATGCAAGAGGGACCCTTGGGGTTTTTGCATGCCTCATGATCTTGAGTAAAGGCTTTAGAAACTCCTGATGGACAAAGGACTTTGATTTTATTAGTGTTTTAAATGAAACCATTTAAAGTTGTTTTTAAGTCATCATCTTTCATTACTGTAATAGATATAAAATCCTTTAGTATGTTTTCAGATACCATTAATTTTCTGGATAAGAGTCTATTATTGTTTATGAAACTGCATTGCTCTGAATACTAGCTTCAATGTCACTAAATTAATCTTGTCGAGGGTTTTGATATCTGACTTGTGTTTAGTTACTTTATTCATTTACAGATATTCCTTAAAAGCTCTCTAACCTGTGAAGTGAAAAAAACCCACCACTTTAATGTAACCTGTGTGGAAATTGTAACTCAATAAGCCTTATGCTAGTATTTCTTCCATGTAGGTCAACTGTAAAATTCTCACTGACTTAATTGGCAGAGGAGTTAGACCTATATGAGAAAGAAAACAAGTCAGTGGAAAAAGAGTATGAAAATTTTATACTATCAGAGAAAATGTGGTGGTGTTCAAAAAAAGTGCAAGCACAGTGACAGGCATTGGTGTTGCATTGAAGAGTGCAGGTTTGTTTATGGTAGTGCTGGGCTTTCAGCACCACATTACTGTAAACTCATCTTCTTTCTGTAGATTTTATGGCTGCAAGGATTAATTTGACTCTATACTTTTGACTTACCCACTGAGGTTTTCTGACTGGCAATTAGGTGGCTGTTTATTGGGAATCCCATTAATGGAACACAGCTCATCTTACATTAACATCTGTGAGTGAGCATCCTGAAATGAGCTGTCCTTGAATATATGACTCACAAGGGCAAGTCTAGGTGTTGGATTGCAAGCTGCTGGCAGTCAAACATACCTGATGTATTAGGAGAGCTTGTAAAATATAACTCACTAAGAAAAAAAAGCTGGCCAGAAGATTAATAGATCTGTAATTTTTTTCTCCAAAAGAATTACAATGAAAATGATCTTGTAAAATGCATCTGTTATGAATTGTTGCTTACCAGTAAACATTCTTTCAGTAACATGCAGTACTAGGGCTCAAAATAGAGATGTTTTTGAAAGGAAAAACTCTCAAATTTTTGAATAAAGAATGGCCAGATTTGACTTTCAGAAATAATCCAGTCTGAGTAAACCAGTGTCAAGAGTGTGTGTCAAAGTTATTCTCAAATATCAAACCATTTTAAAATAAGATTCATGAATAGGAGGTAAGTTTCAAACACATACATTCTTTTTTATAACACATTACTCACATGCTCATGATAAAAGTTGTAGACCTCTGGTTGACTTCACTAAATCCTGAACTGCCCGTGTAGCTTTTCTTGTGTTTCCTGAAAATATTTTATGATTATTTCTGCAGCCTCTATTTTGTTCTAAGCTGTCAATCATGTTCATAACTGAGCAGTCAGCAGTGCTGACAGTGAATTGTGTAGTTGAATCTCAAAATACTTTCTGCTGGGAGTACAGATTAGACTATTGCAGTGGTATCCTTCATTTAACACTTGAGTTGGGAACAGCCAGGGCTGAACTTACTTGAATAACTCCATCCAAAAGGATGGAATGTGCAAGTTCCAGAGGATAGTCTAGACACACTTCAAGATGTAGAAAGTAGAGTTTTAAGATGTAAAAATGAGGCTCTAAAGTTTGGTGGTCACCACAACAGCTCCTCTGAGGTAAAAGTAAGTAAATGCATGTCAAGCTGTTTCTGTAGTCTAATCTATAACTTGGTTGTTTTGACTCTAAAGAACATAATCCTCAGCTTCAATTCATTCCCTACATGGGGATTTAAATGATCTTCTTCCCCTTACATAGCCTGGTCCTCTTATCCTACCAGAGAAAAATTCGAGCTCATTCAGAACAACAGCACACAGCCAGTGGAGATCTTAAGTACTGTTTTGAAGTTTCTGATCAGCTGTGTAGAGGGAGTTGGCATCCTGGGAAAACTGTAATGGTGCCTTGCCATGAACACAGTGTTTCCACAGCCTGTTAGAACGAGGCAATTGGATGTGGGCTAGAGACATAAGTGGAAAGAGTGTTTGCTCCATGACGGGCTGCAATCCAGTGAAGGTCCACCAGAGCAATAAAGTAATTATGAAACAAGTTCAAGCCAAACATTAATACTTTAATACAAAAGTATTAAAGTTAGGTACCAAACGTTTACTTTGCTCAGAGGGTTTATTTAAGGCTACACAAAACAGTACATCCAGTTTGTGAAAAGGTATGCACTGCCTGAGGAAGAGAAGTGTAATTAAAACCTCATTAAAACTGATATAAAAGGAAGTGCTTTGAAAAAACTACTCTCTCAGAGGCTCAGCATATCTAATTTCTTTCCTTTTGAGACTAGTGTACAGAATCTGAAAATGAGAATATAGTCTAAATAGTCTTATTCACACCGATATCAGTGAAATCATTTGCTTTGCATATTCCTGCTGCAAGCAGATGTAAAAGTATTCCTCTTGTACTCAGAGACCTGAAGTCAGTGAGCATAGTGCTGAGCCAAACTAGTAAACCCCGAACCGTGTGTGTATATTAACTCAGCTCTGACACTGTGCAAATTGTTAAGCTCAGCTCATCATTTTTGGTGCTCAACTTGATGATCATCTATAACTCATAATGCTGGAGTCAGGAAACTTCTGATGGGCCAAAGTTAAAGAAGGAGGAAAGGGGAAATAATTCACCAGTGATGATTATTCTCAACTGTTAGAGATCTTCTTGTAAGCTTTCTTCTAGAAAACATTTCTATGTCTGATAGTATTTATTCAAATATTCAAGAGATTTAGTCACTAGGACAAGCATCCTGAACTGGGATTGTGTAGACAGGACAATTGTACTTTGGCTAGTTGCAACATTCTTTAAAAAATATTTTACTGAACCAAGATGCCAGATCAATGTCTTTCTCATTTGTTCTTGGTATAATAGGAGATATTTGAGTGACTGTGGCATTCCCTTGTAGTTGGGTCAGTTTCATAATTATATATATATATATATATAAATATATACACACACACAGACAGAAGAATAGAACAGGGGACCCCCTGCTGCAACATCCCACCAAGATTTAACAAGGGTTTATGACTCATCATAAATGTTTAATGAGTTTTGACAGGTATGGAGTCAAGTAGGTTGCATTCTGGTTTTGTCTGGAGATTCACAACTAAACCTTTCTCAGGGTTTGGCAGACACAGCCAATTTAAGATGTTTCAGATCTCACTAAAATTGAAACAGGCATAAAATCCTCCTTAGCTAGTGTGTCACTGTCACTGGAAATGGTCTGAGTACTGAAATATCAGTTAATTCACTTTCTCATCACCCTTCTACTTAGGAGACAAGCAAACAGCACCCTCTGTAAAATAAATATTTTAATAACATTTTTTTCTTTGGCTTGCATGTGGTGTTATGCCTTTAAAATTAAAGCCAGAGAACAAGAGAAAAATTGACTTGTTTTGTAGCAACAGTAGCCATTTATGAACCATGATGATTATACGTTCTTCCAAGAAATGTAGCAGGCAGGGCTGACCGTTTTGGCAGACAGTGCTCTGCAGTTCATGCATTTGGATCTCACTGGGCACACACTACAGCCCAGCTTTTCAAATGTGATCCATTTTTCATTAGAGCTTCTAAGGGAAATTAAGGGTCTCGAATATGGTTATCAACAAAAATGCTCAATTGATGAATACTTTTGATGTATGTTAAATACAGCACACAGATGCAATGCTGTAACCCAGCCTAATCAAGAGAGTGTCTAGGTCCTATCTAGCCCACCACCATCTTTTTGAGAAGATACGGGGGTGTGTTGCCAAAGCAGTAACTGCTCCTCCTCACCCAGTGATGTGTAGAGAAGAGGTTGTTTTTGCAAGAATAGGAGTGTGTTTGCCTACAAAGGAGAGGAATACTAAGAAATACTTGAGACCTTTTGGCTGACTCAGTCCCAGCTGGAGGATAGCAGCTGTGGTGCCCCTGCACCTCAGGTGAGGGGGATGATGAGGGCTAAATTGCCCCACCCGTTCATTGGTGCCTCCACTGGTCGATGCAAATTTAGGATGTCTCTTCATTTCCTTTCCCCATTTGATGGGAATGCATAGGATACTTCAGTGCAAGGTAAAAGACCTCGCAGACTGAAATAAAGTGGAAAAAAAAGAAATCCTTGCTAGCAAGTCTCCAGGCAGTAATTCATCTAGGAGGCAGGCTAAAGTTCTCGTCCCCTTTTCATGATTTGTTGCCACTGCTTCTTTTCTTCTACATTATCACTGCAAAGAGTTGTCCTTTTGACTGTGTAAGCTTTCAAGGTCTTCAGGTAAGTGTTATTAGGAAACCTATTTCTTTTTTTCATGAAGAATATAATGGACTAAAACTATGATTTTTGTTTTGATATATCAAACTAATTTCAGTATTTTAAAGTCTGTTTAAAAATGTGAAAGAAGTTTATCTAGAGTTTCACAACTCTAATGACTACTGAAAGTAGTCAAATCCATGGACACCACTGAAAGCTGTCTTAAAACAAGAACTTGAACTTCAGCCTCTTACATCAGGTTGCAGGTTAAATATTTAGTAGGCTTTTGGCTATCTTGGGTAAAAGCTTTTTCTCTGTTCCTCCCTCCCTTCCTTACCTCTGTATTCAGAGAGACTGAATTTGTGTAATCAATGTATCTTCTTAATGTATCTTGTAGCCTTCTGGCTGTGCCACCAACACCAGATGAAGACATCAGAAATAGATTTGTTGTCTGGGGGAGAGGTGTGTTTACGGGGGTGTTTCTTTGGGTTTTGTGTGTTCTCCTGACTTTCTTTCTCCCAAAAGTTGAGCAAGAGGCCCCTAACTGAAAAAAACTGGGCTCAAGAAGTTAATGAGGGGAATAACTGGAGGATGATTGGCAGTGGAGGGTGATGAAAGTGTTTCAGCATGCAGTCAGGAGAAGGCAGATATATATGACTGTATGCTTATTTGCATATCTTAAGCAATTACCTGCAGAGACAGTAAGATTGCTAAGCAGTACTAAATTTTGGGAATATGTTTGTAGTACACTACAAGCACTGCCAAGGCTAAATTGCAGACATAATGGCTGGAATAACATACCATTATTAATCACATTTACTAATTAAGAAAATTGCACTGTTCCCCCCAAATATCATTAGAAAGAAAATATACAGTATTGAAGTTTCCATGAAAAATCAACAGTAAAAACAGTGTTGTTTTCCTGATAATACAAGTATTTAACTAGGAGGAAAAGCAGCATCAGCACTAAATTCCATGGGTTTCAGACATGATAGCAATGGACATTGTGAATTGGGGTTTAAAAAAGAATATGTCTACTGTGAATATTTTATATCTTGTTTACAAGATTCATCTACAAAAGACCAGACAGATTTAAAATATTTGTTTTGAATAGCAGAAAATGGCTTAGCTGTTACTCAAACTCTTTCAAAGACAAAAATAAGCTCAAAAAAGCAAGCAAATAAGCTACTTATGGTGAAATTTTCTATTCAGGACTGGCACATACATAAATCTGGGAAAAGTTCCTATTACCTATCATTCTCACTGTAAAGCTGCGTGAATGTGTGTAGTGCTCACAGCTTGAATGTGCAAAAGAATACACAGTGCAGGACAGGTGATGATCAATGCAATTTAAACACTTCATGGAACATCTGGGCTTTCAGTTCTTTTAAGATGGAGAAACAATGGCTTGACATGTTGACTGTGAAACTGCAAATGCCAGTATTGTACAGTATTTTTCAGTATTTTGTTTTGTGTCTTTCAGTGAAAGAATGCATACGAATCTTAGAAGTGTAGCACCAACAAGACATTTCTATGTAGCTGATCTCCTTTCAGTGAGACAGCGTTCATGAGAGATGTTTTGTCCTTCATTGTTTAAGCAGTGACAGAGCTTCCCTGGACACTAATGATAAACACAGAAACACTGTGAATTAGAATTTTTTCCCCAAAATTTCTGAAATCTCTTCTGCAAGCAAAGTTGATTTGTCTTTTCCCTTCTCCCAGTGAGAGTAGAGAACAATTTATAGCTACAGCATTTTTATCAGCTTTCACATTAGAGAACTGTTGACATGTTACTTGGAAGATTACTCTTCTCTAGACTAACCCTACTGAATTCCTGCAGCCTTTCCTTTTAGTTCACATTTTTAAGCCTTTATGACTTTTAATGTTTTCCTCAGGATTCAGTAGTTTGCTTTTGTGTGCCTTAAGCAGACAGACCAAAACACAGTCACTGTTCTTGCTGAGCTCTCACCAGGGTGAGGAGAAGCAGAGCAATTTGCTCTGCTTCAGATTTAAAATACTCCTGTTAGAACATTTCAGAATAAGTGCCCCAAAATGTTGACC